TGTGATATTTTTTGATGGCTTGACTTTGACACACATTCTGAAGGAACCATCCTTCTTAGGCACGAGTAGGGCTAGAACCGAGTAAAGACTCATGTTTTCTCGTACATATCCTCTAGCAATTAACTCATCAACTTGTCATTACAATTCCTTAGTTTCCTCTGGGTTGCCTTGATTAGCGGCTTTGTTAGGTAAAGAGGCACCAGGAATCAAATCGATTCGATGCTCAATTCCTCTTATGGGAGGCAATCCAGGTGGCAAATTTGCCAGAAAAATATCTTCAAACTCCTCCATCAGGGGTAGCCATTTGGGTGTTAGAGTTTCTCTATCTTACTTTTTCCAATTTCAACCATAAACAAAGCAAAAACATTCTTTTGTTTGCAAATAACTCTCTTCACCCATGTTTCATTCAAGAACACATTTTCCTTCAGAGGGTGATGTTGAGCAAAAAATTGCAGTGACTTAGCCCAATACTCCTACTAGAGATGGCAAATGGGCCAAGTCAATCCTGGCACGACTTGGTTCCATGCGGCATGTTATGGGCTAATCCAATAGAGAATGACCTAACTCATGTTGGGCCGATTGGACCCCGTTACCCAACTTTTGGCCAAAATCATAATGCTACGGAAATCATCAAGACTATAAGGGAGAATATATGCAATTTATTTCATCTTAATAAGGTCTGGCATTCCCCACCCAACCCAACCCAACCCAACCCAAGAGGATTGTCTAGGAATCACTAACTCAAATCAACCCAACCCAAGAGGATTAACATGTTTTTATTATTAAAATGATTTGTTGAAACTCTTTTTATGACGCAACAATAGCATACTCTCCTTGAATATCCATCGGGAAATCACTAAAAAAGTTCTAACCCTATTGTATGGATCCAATTTAGTATTAAAACTTTCAATTTGACCAATTGAGTCCTAAACCTGTTAATAATTTTCCAATATAATCTTTCCAGCCAATTTTTTCTGGCAATCATTGATGTGGACGCCAACCGTTTTACTTAGCACAACCGATGCTAATATGGACGGTTTTTAAATTTTTTCATAATTTTTTTCTTATCTTTTTTTTTCCTTCTTCCATGGCCAGCAACTAGCCGTAGGCGAGGGTCAGCCTCCAGAACCTCGAGCGAGTCTCAAACTCGTCAGCCATCACAAGGGCTTAGTGACCAGTGGAGGAAGAAGGAAAAAAAAAATAGAAAGAAAAGAAAAAAAATAAAAATCTCAAAAAAGTAGAAAAAATTAAGAAAAAAACAAATTCAAAAAAATTGTCCAACATTAGCACCGGTTGCGCCACATAGGACAACCAATTTCTACATCAGTGATCACTGACAAATATTGGTCAGAAGGATTACATTGGCAAATCAGCAAATGTTTTGGACTTAATTGGCCAGATTGAAAAGTTTTGGATAAATTGGCATTCGTACAATAAATTTAAGATGTTTTTTTTTGGTAATTATCCCATTATCAATTGATTGTTGTGGCGTTTCAATATCTTCTTTGAATTAGTAAATTTTTTAACAGATATGATGGTTACAGAAAATTTTCAGACCTACTATGCATATAATGAATGAAAGATTACAAAATATTTGGCAGAAATTCCCCTTGGTATTTGTTGCCTGCGGTGATGGATCCTACAACCCAATTACATTTGGTAAGTTTTGTTTTGGAAGCATACTATGAGAATTTAGTATTCGTTGATAATCCAAGGGATGGGTGTAGAGACCCGACTAGCTATAAATCATGAAATACCCTACAATTTACATGAATGAGTTTAGTCAAGTCATTTGGCCTGTGTAGATGACCCTAACTCAAAATAATTTGCATATAATTGGTAACATTCGAATGGGTGACCTTCAGCTCCTAAGATGAAAATCCCCCAATGCTCAACAAGCTGATCAAACCTTGGGGTTGGACAGATAGTTCTTTAAGAATAGTCATTGTAGCTCCACCAATGTGCAGTGGATTTGAAAACGTTGTCCCTTTGCAAGATTAAAAAGTCTAAATGACTTGAATGACCGGCAAAAGAACAATTACTTAGAGTTTGTTTGGTATAACTGCAGCTTAATTGTAGTTTTATCGTGATGTGACTGTGCTACATAGTGTCAAGACTTTTATATTTAGTGAAACACGTTCTAAAACCCCACGAGAACTGTTTAGAATGGTTTATTAACTCCGGCAATTATTGAGGTGCGAGCTTGCCAAACATCTTATAAAAACTATATTACCCCTTTCAAGTTTTATGGATAAGCCGTATCAGATAAACTCTCAGGAGTTAGTCATTTGTCTTCCGCAGTGTTCATCTCTTTGAACATTACTTTCTAAAACATTTATTATCCATAACGCATGAAGACATGAATCCCACATACTTATACTGAAACATATAAAAAACTGCCAAGTTCAATAAAAGAATATTACAACTTTGAATTTGATTTGTTAGGATTAATTGACATTACACGTAGAAGAGGATATTAATTAGAAAAATAGGGACTATTTTCATTAGCTAAATAAACTAATAGTAATAATTTTTTTTTTCAATATAAATGACTCTACTTTAATATAACAGTTATTTTCTTCACGATTGATAGTAGGGCGCGCATGGTAACATTTCTGTTACAAAAATCAATTTATGGCCAGAAATAAATTTTTCTATTTCTATTTCGTGGACGAGTTTCTGAGCAAAAATGCGTGTTTGATAATGACACAAAATTTATGTTTCCGAAATAGAAATTCGTTTGATAACGACACAAAATTTCTCCCTTCCGGGTGGCCGGTGGAGGACGGCAAGTGGCGGCGAGGGGCGGAGGTCGGTGGCCAGTGGTGGGAGGTTGCCGGCCGGCGGTAGCGGATGACGGCGGCCGGCGGCGATTGGCACCGGGTGGCGGCCGGCGTCGGGTGGTGGAGCACGGCGGCGGAAGGCGACTGGAGGCGGCCGGCGTCGGGCGGTGGAGCACGACGGCTGGCGGCGGAGGACGGCGGTCGGTGGTGGGTGGCCGCCGGCCACATGATGAGCGGTTGGCGGCAGGAGGCGACCGACGGTGGAGGGCGGTCGACGGTAGGAGGCGGCCGACGACGGAGGGCGGCCAGTGCTGGGTGGCGGCCGGCGTCGGGCGGTGGAGCACGGCAGCCGGCGGTGGAGGACGGTTGCTGGTGGAGGCCGGCATCGGACAGTGGAGGACGGTGGTCAATGGCAAGACGCGGCCGATGGGCGGGAGGCGAGCGGTGGCGGGAGTCGGCTGGCAGGTGGCGGCGAAGGACGCGGGAGGCGGCGGTGGGTGGGTTGCGGCCGGTGTTGGGCGGTGGCGAACGACGGAAGATGGCAGTGGGAGGAGGCGGTCGGCGAAGGACATCGGCGGTAGGCGGTCGACGGCAGGAGGCGGCCGGCGGTGGCAGGAGGCGTCCGGCGGCAATAGTGAGAGACAAGGGGGTGGCCGGCTAGTAGCGAGGACGAGCGATAAGAAGAGTTTTTATTTCTCATTTCTGTTTCAGAAATAGAAAAGTAAATTTTTTTTACTTCTGATTTCTATTTCAAACCTATTTCTGAAATAGAAATTTGTTTCGGAAATAGAAAAATGAAATTGCGTTACCAAACGGATTTCTGTTCCAAACCTATTCCTGGGAACAGAAAAATAGAAAAATAGAGAAACAGAAATGATTTCATGCGCGCCCTAAATAAACATTGCGTAGAAATATCTGTAAATGAATCAATATATGTTTCGTTTCCTCAAGTCAACTTTTATTTCTTTCAATATAAAATATATTACGTACGACGAAAACAACACTAAAATAAAAAAAATTAAGTGAGCTTAGCATCAGTTGTATTTATTATAATGACATAATAAGTTGTGAAAGTAAGTGAAAATAAAATGCTAATAACAAGACTTACTTTTATTAATAGAACAGAATTGTTCGCAGTGGATATATTCTCAAAGAAACTACGTATGAAATGGGACTTTGGGAGGACACATGTCATTCGCTCTATCCTTTCCTTCACTTCTCTTAATTCGTATTTTACTAAAATTTCCTTGCAGATGACTCCTTCCTTCCTTAATCCTTTCCTGTTCCTTTTATATTTCTCTCTCATTATAGATTTACCTTATTAAATTTTTTGGCATATACTGTACTTTCTATCTCTTAAAATTATTTCGTTCTCATGATTCTTTCTTTCTCTTTTAAATAATAAAAATGAATCCTACTTGAAAAGAATTATTAGTTTTGTATATAAATTTATTGAATCATGAGAGGACAATGTCGTTTCTTTTTTTTTTTGTACTAGCAAAAATGTACGTGCATTGTGTGTATGAAAAAAATTGATATTTAAAAGATTTTGCAAAATTTCCTTATTAGAAAATTTGTAAATTTTTAATGAATAAAATATTTGAATTATTAATCAGTGGGATGAAATTGTTGACACGATATGAAGAAATTAGAAACATATTTATGAAAAGAAAAATATATGAAAATTTGAACTGTTTTGGATGAACTCATTTATTATATAGAAAATATTCAAGTCTTAAAACTGAAGTACGCGAGAGCCAATATAGAGTTATTAATGTACGCAACTGTCCATGATAGAAGATAGTATAGAATAACTGATCAAAATAGTCTAAGGATGAAAAAACAATTGTGATCCCGTCAAAAGTAGGAAGTATTCTTTGTTTTATAAAATAAAAATATATATGTCACATCTCAAGTAGGAAGAGTTCTATGTTATGCACACTTCAATTATTTTATTCAACACTGTTTTATGATGAGATCATTAAGGTACAATATAGATTTTATTGTGTTGTATTAGATTTGCTCCATTAAAATCAATAGAATTATGAGGTAATCAAGGTGATTTATATATCCTAAAAGTTACACACTTCAATTTAATTTTTTCAATTCATGATATGACTTATATTTATAATGTAATTATTATGTTATGTTTAAAAGTTTTCATTAAAAATGAAATTAATGAATTATTATTTTAGAATAATTCTATTTTGTGTCCGATTATATGGAAGAAATGAAATTTATTCATAATAAAATTATATTCCGCGGCGAACCATGGATGACACACTAGTAATAGAAGAAACAACAAAATACCTTCAGCACATACAATTTATTTTCACCCATGACCTCTCCGGGATCAGTCACACTTTATTCAATTTCTATAATCGCGCAAACCTAATCAAATATCACCAGCTAGCAGAACCGGTCCGATTCTTCATCCCAATCACTTCCAATGCGGAAGCGGCATGGCAAAGAACTTCATCAAGCCATCGGAGCAGTCCTTGTCGTTAGAGGAAGCAAAGTAGTAGAGCCTCCATTGGTCCAGCACGACCTCGAACCCTTCTTCGGTGCCTTCTGGCGCACCGGCGAGAAGCTTCGCACCCTTGAAGTCACACTTGAGGTAGCTATACAGGTTGGGCAGCAAGTACACGTTGTGGGGTGCATCAAATTTGAACACTAGCCAAGAAAAAAAAATAGTTAAGCTTAGGTTATTCAGTTTGATGGTTCATAGTGGCATCGACATCAATTCTTAAATAAAAGAAACTTGAAAGGGTTCTTGATTTCATCCGCAATCCACATATAGCGTCACCTTCCCTCCTAGATCCTGTGTTTATATCACATTAGATCTCATTCAAAGTAATCTGAGGATCACACTCACCGTCATGTTGTGGAGCCTTAGCTGATGCGCATTGTTGAGTTGATTAAGATTCTATTATAGTCGAAAAATCAAATATCCTATACCATCTAAGAGAAGAAAATTGATGTGGCTCTCCAACAAGATAATCGGCATATATTGGAACCATCAGTGACTACTTGTCACGTCTTTTTTCTGAATGATGACCAATTTTTAGGTAAAACTTTCTCAATTATGGGCATTCCTCTATGCAAGCTTCAGCAGCATTAGAGGAAGTAAAACTTCCTAGGCTGAAACTAAAAGTTGGTTGGTCGCACTCACCAAGTTTGTCGCTAATAGAGACGGGACTGCTCTTAAGAGCCCAGTCCGTGTAGTTGTAGCCGAAACGCCAGTTCTCAGATCCACCAACGACGATAGTCCTGGCCTCGGTCATTGCCATGGTCGCCGCTATCACCAGCAACACCATTCCTGCATACCTCAGTCCTGCCATTTCGCTAATATATTCTCAAAAGATCTCTCTAGCGAACTGAAAAACAGTGAAGTTGAATTGTTTTGGCAGTTGAAGTGAGTTCCAAGATTCATCAATGGGGGTTTATATACCCAATTTCTGGCAACAATAGTCGGAGCTGAATTTTCTCAACTTGGTGGCAACAGAGATTGGATTCAAGAATGAAGAGAACACGTTTTTTCCAAGATTTTGAATCGGTAAACTCATACAAAATGCTTCTAGATTACTGCTTTTGGTTCCTGAAATTCTTTTCTCATTCGCCACTTACCTTAGAGCCATCCCACACCTCATTTTGCAGTCATTTTGTTGAAGACTGAACTGACTCTAAGGAAAATGGGTAGCATTAGAATTTCGAAATTTGACTGAGTCCATTGGTCTTCTTCGTTTTGGCACTTATCCACTTGGAGAAGGAAAGGAGGGAAAGGTAATGATTGCGAAGCCATTGAAGTCCATCCCAACTGATGGGTTTTCTTTGTGAATGATGGGCCGCTCATGATGGGCTAACCCAGCCCATGAAAGGAAATAACTGCACTTGGCAGTTATTATCTAGACACAAAAAGTGAGAACACACATAATAGTGTGTGTGGGTTTGCATTTTTATGATCAGAAACTTATTCTCACAAAAGGACAAAAGTAGAAGGGATTTTGTTCAACGATCTAAGGATTGTTCTCTCTCTCGACGTTGCAAAAGGAACATTTAATCCGTGGAAAATAAGGTACGTCCCTCTTGGTGATGTACTTTAACGATCGGTGATTCAAGTTTATACTGGGTACGTTTTTTCGTATACGATTTTTGGGCGATACTCGTTAGTTTGAGTTTTATGTCGTTTAGGAATTTGTTTCCGTCTTTCCGCATTTCTTGGAATCTGTTTCCTTTCATTGGTATCAGAGCGAGTGTTCTTGTTTCCTGATCGTTGCAAGTGTGCATAACACGGAATATTGGCCGGAATTCGTGAAACGGCGCCGACGAACGCTTGGGTACGAAATACCGACACCCGACTGTACTGGTCCGCATTGTTTTTCGAAATTCCGTGCGGTAAAATTAAAATTTAAAACTGTAGGGTCGTAGTACTCGTCGAAACGAGAATTTTGATGGGTGGCACGCCGCAGGGAGGAGCCGCACGCGCCCACACGCGCCGCCGCAAGTGGCGGTCTCGCCGGCACGTGCGTGACGGTTCCTCCCCGCGCGCGTGCACCCTACGCGCCATGAGGGCGTGTGCGGCGTGGCTGACATCACGCTGACGTCAGCCATGCGGTTGCTCAACCGGGTTTTTCAGACCCGACCCGTCCCGGATCCGACTTGACCCGATAGTCCACCCGACCCGTAGATTTGACCCGTTGACCATTGACCGGCGTTGACCACCGTTGACCGGCGTTGACCAGCGTTGACCGCGAAAAAAAATAATAATAATAATAATAATTGTACCTTGGATTATGAGTAATCCTTTTATTTTTCTGCATTTGTTGCAAGAATAATGGTACGAAGATATCGAACCCCTATTATCCCTAGAACCGCGGCTCAAAAGAAGAAGCTTAAGAAACTAAGAATCAAGCTGGCTCTTTACCGGTGGGATGCTGATGATGACATGATGACACACATCATCAAGGTCAACCAAATGATACAAGATATCATTTGGAACGATTTCGTAATGCCAGGGTATGTGATGGTCGGAGCCCTCAAATGCACAATTCCTGATGAGTTGAGAAGAATGATTGATAGGGTTTGGGACACCTTAGAAAGTCCGAGCTATAAGATGATTGTGGAGCAATTCATGATAGAGTACATACGGGTCGGGGCAAGATGGACGTCAACCCTTGCATTGAATCGGTCTCGGCGCAATACGTTGCCCGAATCTAGGGGTTTTTCCGGGTGCCTCCATTTGGATGCCAAAGAAAATAGAATTTTCTGAGAATTTTCATGAGTCATTTCCGGTTTATAGAAAGAAGATCACCACCTGATTGTGTTTATCTATTTTTCGTAAGTTCTTATGGATATGTTCACTATAGGTTGGTGTTAAATATCTTGGGTGGATAGTTCTTTTTATGTTGGTGTTTATGTTTATTTCCTTAGATGGATTCATTCCTTTTGTACATAGTGTTAGGTAAATGAATGTTGATGGATATTCATGTTGTGAATAGTTTATAGTACTATTCTGTTTTAATATTTATCTTATTAGTATCATATGGAGTTGAGTGGGAGTTCTAAAAGTTTTAGTAACTTTAAAGAACATAATTTTACCTTAATGATTACATTAACAGTAATTTCACATTAGTTTTTTTTTATGATGATTGGGAACATAGTGAACTTTCGAATCTAAAGCCTATGTGAAATTATTCATTAATATAATCAATTTGTGTAAAATTGATGCATAAATGAGTGGCATTAATAATTCATGCTATATGTCTGAAATGTTCAGATACCATGGCTTCAGCAACTAAGAACATAGTGGCTGAATTGAACAAATGAGAGAAATTGAACGGCGAGAATTATGAAATATGGCATATGAAAATCCAATATGTGCTGGAAGAGTAAGAGGCTCTTGAAGCTCTTAACCTGGTTATGGTAGAGCCTGAAGACGGAAACATTGCACAACATAAGAGAGATAAGGATGCATTTGCTGTATGGAAAAGGAAGAACTCCCTTGCTCGCATCACGTTGCTGAGTAGCATGAAAAATGATGTCATGCGAGAGTTTAGGCGTTTTGAAAATGCTAAGGAGATGTGGGGAGCATTGGCAGCAAGGTTTGGTCATACATCTGTAACCAAGCTTAGACAGCTCACTATAAGATTTGACTCATATAAGAAGCCACATGGTCAGTCCATGAAACAACATTTAAGGAAAATGTCAAACATGATTAATGAGCTGAAGGATGCTGGCCATGTTCTGACTGATGAGCAGCAAGTGCAAGCAGAGATTCGTTCTTTGCCTCAAAGTTGGGAGCATATGAAGTTGCACCTAACTCACAATGAGAACATCAAAACCTTTGAGGATGCAGTGCGCCACTTAGAGCTAGAGGAGGACCGTCTCCTGGCGGATAAGCCGGTAATTGACATTTACTATGCAGGTTCTAGCTCACAAGGGCCTTCGAGCTCTACGCGCAAGCGTCCTGATTCGTTCAGAAGGTGGAGAGGTAAGAGAGCGAGTTCTTCGGGGAAGAAACCAAGAGATGAACAACACCAAAGAGGAAAGCGTCCTCATGAGAAAAAGATGTCAAGAGTGAAGTGCTACAACTGTAGCAAGAAAGGCCACTTTGCTCGCGATTGTCGTGAGCCAAAGAAGGTTAACTCATCTTGTATTATTGAGAACTTTGTTTATGTATCAAGTTCTATATTTCTAACTGAATCAAATCCTTTGTGGACTGTAGATTCGGGAGCAACAGACCATGTAGCGAAGGATAGAGAAGCCTTCGTAGAATTCCGACGAGTTCCAACGGGAACTAAATGGATTTATGTAGGGAACAACTCCAGAGCTGAGGTTAAAGGAATTGGCACCTGCCAGTTAATTATGCGTGGTGGACGCACTTTGTTCCTACATGATGTATTATATGCTCCGGAAATTCGTCGGAACTTAGTGTCTGTTTTAGTGTTGATTCGACTTAGTTTTAATTTGAACTTCCATAATAATGGTGTACACTTGTATTTAGGTATGAGTTATTATGGTTGTGGTTATTTTCTAGATGGTTTTATTGTACTGGATGTTGATTCTGTAAATGTCAATGTTTGTTATTCCCACTTCACGTCTTCTACTTCGTGTGATAATGATGTGAACGTATGGCATGCTAGGCTTGGCCATATAGGCCAACAACGAATGAATAGATTAGCCAAAGAAGGCTTAATGGGCAATATTGAAAAAGTCGATTTGCCCACTTGTGAACACTGCCTAGTTGGGAAAACAACAAGGAAACCATTTGGAAAAGGAACAAGAGCTGAGTTCCCTTTGCAGTTAATCCATTCTGACATTTGTGGTCCAATGAATGTGAGGGCTAGACATGGGGCTGTTTATTTTATCACATTTATTGATGATTATACTCGATTCGGATATGTCTATTTGATTTCTCATAAATCTAAGGCTTTTAGTTGTTTCAAGATATTTATGAACTTGGTGGAAAATCAATTAGATAAGAAAATAAAAGCATTAAGATCCGATCGAGGTCGAGAATATCTATCTGATGAGTTCAGAAATTTGTGTGATGAAAAGGGAATAGAAAGACAGTTGTCTATTTCCTATACTCCTCAACAAAATGGTGTTGTGGAAAGGAGAAACAGAACCCTACTAGAAATGGTTAGGTCCATGATGGCGTAGGCTAACTTACTAATCACCTTTTGGGGTGACGCTTTATTAACTGCTGCCTACATACTTAACCGTGTGCCTTCTAAATCAGTTATTTCCACTCCGTATGAGTTATGGACAAGTAGAAAACCCGTTTTGAGTTTTCTGAAACCTAGGGGTTGTGCCGCTTATACACATGAATCTTCTCATAAGTATGGGAAATTAGGTCCTAGAGGTAAGAAGAGTATCTTCATAAGGTATTCGGAAACCTCAAAAGGATATGTATTTATAGGTGAGTAAGAAAGTGGGAGTATAACTGAATTTGAATCACGAGATGTCACATTCTTAGAGAATGAGTTTCCTAAGAAGGGCGAAATAGGTGAGAACTACTCACTATTTGAAACCTTGGATCCTGATAGTGAAATCGATAAAGTTCGTCCAAGTGGAAGCAATGTGAGAAGTGAGGAATTGAATTCGACTCAATCTCAATTGCAACCTTTTGATGAGACGATTCCGTCATTATCTAATCCAAGTGGGAGCATAATGGAGAATGATATACCATGTGTACAATCTCCCATACGGCGAACAAGTCGCAAAAGTATTCCCCGACGAGTGTTAACATTGAAGGGGAAACTTTCATGATCGCTCCACAAAATGAAGACGAGCCAAGGAATGTAAATGAGGCTCTAAATTGCCCTAACAAAGAAAAATGGATGATTGCAATGAAAGAAGAAATGGAGTCAATAAAGTCAAACCATGTTTGGGAACTGGTTAATCTTCCAGAAGGACGCAAAGCTATTGGGAATAAATGGGTTCTCAAAATAAAACGCAAATCCGATGGCTCAATAGAAAGATATAAAGCTCGCCTAGTGGCGAAAGGG